CCCTAACCCTAACCCTAACCCTAACCCTAACCCTAACCCTAACCCTAACCCTAACCCTAACCCTAAACATTGCCATTCATAGACATGGCGACCACTTGCCAGCAACCGTACGATCTCGAATGGATCCGCGCCTTTTGAGTCGTCATTCGCTCCATCGCCAAGGCGGCATCGCGAGGCATCGCAGCCTAGCTAGATTCGTACCTAGGCGCATCCGGAGTATATCTTGCCTATAAGGGCCACTTGGTGCGACCGCTCTGTCGCATCCAGCTGATTGATGCAAACAGCGTCTACCTACAGCGGAAGTTCGTTCTCGGGGTTGCGCATGTGGCGGAGCGCCTGCTCGAGGTTGGAAGTAATTTTGACTGCGACGCCGTCGACCTCAATTAGCTTGGTGGCGTTGGGGTCGCTCTAGGTATATGACAGAGCGTTATAATGCGGCTTCTCGTGGAAGCTGACTGGACGCAGGCTACATCGAATAGGCTCCTATTCGTTGCCAGCGTGCAGGCTGAGAATACGCAGGTACTCGCTCGCATGCGGTAAAGGCTTGTAAACAAGGTGGGCGGGGATTGGCTTGGCTTTGTTGGCATGCACACCCATCGTGGGTGGTTGTTGCCTCAAGCCTCATCAAAGTGGGAGCTTGGAGCAGCTTACCGAGTGCTTCCTTCCGGCGACACCCTGCGTGCCTGCCAGGTCAACATGCAATGGCGAAGCGAGCCAGATCTGAGCCCCCAATTAGCTCAGTCATTTCAGGCTCGAATAAACCTTATCCGCTCACCATTGCTTAATCTTCCCCTACCCTGAAAAGTAAACGTCGAGATGCACGCACAAGCTTCCTCTTCCCCAATCTTATCAACCCCCTCGCAGTCGCGATGCCGATCGCATTGTACCCCGCCTCGCCTAACACGTCTGTTGATCCAAAAGCAGTATCTTTCCCAGTGCGCACGCATCAGCCGACTCCCGTACCCCAGCGACAACAATGCGCAAGGCTAGTTCCCACGATACAGTTCACCCACCTGCAGGCCAAATGTGGCGGCCGACTAGCTTAATAAGACGGCAAGTCCGTCCCGCACCACCCGGCAAGCGTACCCCTTGCCTCATCAGGTCGCGTCTGTTTAGCCCACGCCAATAGACCGTGCGACAACCTTGGGAGGAGGCGCCCGGCTTTGACATGTGCGACTGCGACGCGGAACCGATAAGAACAACATCGACAACTGCATCGACTTAAGGCGCGCGTCTGGGACGTTGGGAACCCGGACATTCCGAGCTATTCTTCTCGCAGCGTCTTGCAGCGTTATCGTTAGCCCAGCCCATATTCATCAACAGACAGACACCTTCTTGTGCGCTGCGCGCAGTCCATGGATTGAAGTCGTCCGCAGCACCCAACATGGCCGACTTATCGCACACCCGAACGAACGACGCGATGCTTAAGAACGCCGCGCATCTTTCGGAAGACATCCCACCCGAAGACGACGAAGTAAGCGGGTCCTCTAACATGAGAATAGTCGACTTTGGAAGAGACGGTACCGCCGATCCCGAGAATGGTGTGGTGGATGAAGCACATCAACAGCCGCCAAGACGCAAAAAGAGGAGGTTTGGACTGGGGAAGAAGAAAGAGAGTTATAGCCATACGCATTACAAGGTTTACAAGAGACGGTGGCTTGGGCTGGGCCAGTTGGTGTTGTTGAACATTGTTGTTAGTTGGGATGTAAGTTGACACCTGACACCGTCGCCCGTTCCGTGGTTTGCTTCTGCGGGTGTTGCGAAGGGGTCTTCCGTTCCAGACTTCGAGCATTGCCCTGCGTTGTCGATCGGTGGTGTTGGGACAACATCGCATGAACATCAGGAAGCAACAAAGCATGACTGTAACTAACACTCAACATAGTGGTTAACATTCGCCCCCATATCAACAACCTCATCGCAATACTTCCACGTCCCGGAATCTTCCATCAACTGGCTGTCAACCGCCTTCCTCTTTTCCTTCGCCGCAACATGTCCATTAACGATTTATTTGCTCCACCGTGGTCCCAAACCATCCATCATCGCCGCGTCCATCTTGCTGCTGATCGGCAACTGGATCCGGTATGCAGGTACCAAGACCAACATCTTCCCCGTAGTCATGGTGGGCCAGATCTTGACGGGGTTAGCGCAGCCGTTTGTGCTGGCGGCGCCGACGCGGTATAGTGATATGTGGTTTACTGAGGGAGGAAGGATTGGTGCGACGGCGCTGGCTAGTTTGGCAAATCCTTTTGGAGCGGCGGTAAGTAATGCTGCGGGAAGAGGAGAAGGAAAGATGGCTAACAAGACATAGCTTGCGTCTCTCATTAACCCTTTCTTGGGCGATGTGCCAACTACGGTGTTGATAGTCTCAATCATCGCAACCGTAGCATGCCTCCCGGTACGTCTTCTTATACCTCCAGTCAACCTCCACAACATATCTGACTAACACTCAACAGTCTTTCTTCATCCCCGCGGCACCACCAACACCCCCCTCGGCTTCCTCTGTCATATCCAAAACGTCTATCATGACCTCTCTCAAGCACATGCTACGCACCCCCGCCTTCTACCTCGTCTTCTTCACATTCAGCGTCTACACCGGCTTCTTCAACGCCTTCACCTCGCTGCTAAACCAGATCCTGTATCCATACGGCTACACCGAAGACGAAGCGGGTATCTGTGGCGCGGTGCTCATCGTTGTTGGGCTGGTAGCCTGCGCCATTACGTCTCCCATAGTCGACCGCACACACGCCTACCTGCTCGGCATCAAGATCCTATGTCCTGTGCTATCCGCAGCTTATCTAGCGATGATATGGGCGCCGCAGACGAGGACGATTGTCGCGCCTTATGTGCTCGGCGCTGTCTTAGGCGCATGTTCGTTTTCCCTGCTTCCGATCGCGCTGGAGTACCTAGTCGAGATCACTTTCCCAGCTAGTCCAGAAGTTTCCTCTACGATCTGCTGGGTTGGAGGACAGGTCTTCGGCGGCATCTTTATCGTCATCATGAACGAGCTCAAAGACGGAAGACCTGTGGATCTAGACGCCGTACAGGACGCGGGCAGGGATGAGGCTACAGGTGGGAACAGACCGCCTGGACATATGCTTTGGGCATTGGTATTCCAGGCTGTGGTTTGTGCGGTGGTCTTGCCACTGCCGCTTCTGTTGGGTGTGAAGCGACTGGGCCTCGCTAGTAGAGAGGGAAGGCTGAAGAAGGATGTCGATGGCGATAGCGTTGTTGTCGCGGAAGAGGGGTCTGGCGAGGGCGTGCAGGGACACGAGCAATGACTCCTTGGGGACATGGATTCTGGTGACGATTACGAGGATGATGATGACGACGACTAGGGTTTCTTTGTAGGCTAGGTTTTTTTTATCTCGGCTGTATGGGTTATCATAGGAGGGAACTGGTTTCCTTGGTTCGTCTTTTTCATTATTATTGTAAACGGGATTCATGTCCGCGTATTATCAATCAAGACAGTACTTTGCGTTTTTCATTCATGATGTTGTGCAGTGTCTTGATTTGGATCGGGAGATAGAAGTACAGTGATATTCTAAACACGACTCTAATATGTACAGTCATCCACGCATTTGACATGTCTTGATGCTTGCATTCATTCCATTCCGAAAGGGCTACGTTCCTACTACTTGTCGTGTACCAACATTGTATTGGTATTTCGCTCGTAGGAGGACGAGGATCGGCGGGGGTCGGGTCTGTTTACTTGAGCTGGGCGAAGAGCTTGGGGGCGGCGCATTGGGACGCGCAGTGGGCAAGGTGGAAAACTGGGGTTGTGTTAGATGTTGTTGTTGATGTGAGAGGTGGGTTGACGTACATTCTTCAACGCAGTCCTCGCTGGCCTTGCCGTCGTTCTCGATCTGGCCTGTTACCCGTTGGGCGCACTCGTCGTAGTGGTGCTTGGGGCCGTGGCATTCCTTGGACTCGGCGCATTCTGGGTGAGATGGTTAGTCACTGTTCCGTCTGCGGTGGCGCTGTGTGTCTGGTATCGGGCTGTGTCGGATACGGTGGACTTCTTATCGACACGTCCGACAAAAGCCGAAGCCCCCCAGACACGCAATTGATGCCTCAAGGCCGCCGGATTGTCGTATTCGTAGTCCGGGATAACTCACCCTGCTCAAGCTTCTCCTTTGGGTCGGGCTCCTCCTCGTCCTCTTCCTCCTCCTCGGGCTCATCCTCGTCATCGCCGCTCGGCTTGTGTCCCTGCTCGCCCGAGTCGCCGCCCTTCTTCGCATCCTGCTTGTTGACCTCGGCCTCGTCGCCGCTCTCCTCGTCGGTGCCGGACGCAGGCGTCTGGGTGCTGGTGCCACCTTGGACGGGCGGTTGGCCCTCGGCGTCGGCCGAGGGGTGGGAGAAGGTCTCCCAGACGTCGGAGAAGAAGTCGGTGATACCCATTGTGGTGGCTCCGGGGCAATTGGGGGTCCTCGAGTGTGGGTGCGGGTGGTAGCGGAGGGTGTTGGGCGATGGGAAACGAGAGCTGCGAGAGGTGTCATGCCGGGATCGCGAAAATGGGCGGTGCACGGGCCAGCGAAATGGTTAGCGGCGTCATGTAATTCTGAGCGATCTCAGTGGTCTCTTCATTGCGATAACATTAACTGTGTATTTCTTCCACCACATGGTGTTATACGGTACATAGCTAATTCCTATGTCTCTTGAACGCCTCCTCCACGCTGACACCTCGCCCCACATCCGCAATCACCCTCTCGTCCGCCTCGATCAGCTTCGGTAGTAGGTCGAGCAGTTCCTCTACTTTGCCCTGTGGCACCACGACCACGCCATTCTCGAAAGGGTCAATCATGATGATGTCCCCGGCTTCGACTACCGTCTCGCCGATTCTCACGGGCACGTTGTGTGCATGAAATTTGGTCTCGGCTCCCGCGCCGATGACAGACGTCGCTTTGGACCAGATAGGCAGCTGCGTCTGATTCAGCGCAGTGATGTCCCGCACGCGACCGTCGACGACGATACCCTCCGCACCGAGATGCTGCATGCGAGCCGCCATGATACCTCCGACGACTGCGCACGACTGCCCTGGAGGCTGGCTGATGACTACAATGGTGCCGCTCTCAGTGTAATCTGCATACGGTCTGGAGTCGGTAAGGTTGGTAGCTGGCATGCTATCCGCCATCTTGGGAGGGTTCGGGAAAGACTTGGTCGCTTTCGGAATCATGAGGAAGGTTGATGCGGGCGCGAGGACCTTCTTAGGTTCAGGCTTGGGAATGCTGGCCGTATGAAGCAGCGGCCCTGACGAGGTCAATAGGTCATCCTGTGCAATGGTTTCAATTGATCGTACTGATATCGGCGAGGAAACCTGCGCCCGGTACGTGCAGCTTCAGTAGACCATCAGCGAGCTATGAGAGATTAGCTACGCGTCTAGGCGTGGGGAAGGTAAGCATACATCGCATGCTGCGTACTCGTATAGCTTCTTCCATCTCGGTGATGCCATTGCCGTGATTCTATAGTATAGAGCGCGGGACGATGTATATGATCTAGACGTGCAGCGCGACAAGCTATGAGGCTCTTTACCCCGCCAGCCGAGGTGCGCCGCGACTTTGGAACAACATCTTCTCCAACCTTGGACTGGATGCAGTACAAGCCTCACAAGCGGCTTGACATTTGAACCTCTCAGTCCGTACGCTGTCAAGACTCAATGACTGCACTGGCTTCCCTACGTCATCGGCCAATCGCATCAAGCGCTGGGGCGCGTCACGGAAGTAGACGCTGCTGTAGCATGCTGCACGTGAATAGACGCGATTATACAGGAGCAAAATATCTCACAAGACGACTATGTGATGGGCCGTGGCGGTGAATAGGACCCAGATGGTGGCGCAAGGTCGAGTTCCGCCGTATCGCCAAGCACACGACAGATGCAAGGGTCTCGGAACTTAGATGCATCTCAGCACTGGCCCATTCTGCCACTTTCCATAGACGTGACGACTAGCTTTCCGTGGCCTCTCGCCGCCACGCCCAATCCACCGCCCACGCGCGCCTATTCCTTTTCTTTCATCGGGTACTAGACATAGTCACTGCGGCCTCTGCGCTGCGCATTTTTCACCATGGCCCTCCACGCGGCCGGCGCTGCCCAGGTGCGTTTTGCCACGAGTTCCGACATCGCGTCATTGAACCCCTACTGACTTGGATATAGAAGGTCGCTTCTGTCACGTCGCAACTGTCGCCCACCATGTCTACCGCCCTGCGCTCCCCGTGGCACGCCCTGGGCCGCATGCCCACGGCTGCCGGCGTCAGGCAGCTCACCACCGCATCTTCGTCTTCATGTTCAGGTTAGTCGCAGTGAGGCACAGTTGGGACACAACACTGACACTCTGCAGTACTGCGCGTCGGACTATGCAATCCCCTCGCTCTGACATCGCCCGTCGCTGCCCTCAGAGCGCGCCAGTTCTCTTCCATGTCGCGCAACGGCCCTCTCTCGCACCTCCGCCAGCTGACCAAGCCCGGCATGCTCGGCCTCAGCCTCGTACAACAGCGCTCGCTCTTCGGTGGCCCCTCTCAGGAACAACTCGCTCGCCTCGAACAGGCTGCTAATGCCAACCCTACGAGCGCCTCCGCTCAGGCTTCCTTCTACTCGGCTCTGCTGCGCGGCAACTACCACCAGATCATCATCGACCGCTACAACACAGGACGCTTCGCCACCAACTCCACAATCGACAAGATGTACAACAACGCCTTGGCAAAGACGGGACAGGACGGCGGCGAACACTCGGGGCTCACTGCGAACCAACGTCAGGCGATCACCCAGGCCATCGGCGCAAACGCTGGCGGTGCCCAGGTCGCCAAGACCCGGGGCGGCGCTGGCGTCAAGGCCGACCCCGTCTACGTCGTTGTCGAAGAGTCTCTGATGAATGTCATCTTTAAGTGGGTCCGCTGGATCTGCGGTTTCGCTTTGGCTGCCTACGTCTCCCTGATCCTCATCACTCTCTTCGTCGAGACCAGCGGCGTCCTCAAGAAGGGCGTTGGCGGTAAAGAGAACGCCGAAGTCCGTCCCGAGCAGCAAAACACCCGCTTCAGCGATGTTCACGGTTGCGACGAGGCCAAGGAAGAACTCACCGATGTTGTCGACTTTCTCAAGAACCCAGACAAGTACAACAAGCTCGGCGGCAGACTCCCCAAGGGTGTACTCCTGGTTGGCCCTCCTGGTACTGGTAAAACTCTGCTTGCTCGTGCTTGCGCAGGAGAGGCTGGTGTTCCCTTCTTCTACATGTCCGGTTCTGAATTCGACGAAGTCTACGTTGGTGTCGGAGCCAAGCGCGTCCGCGAACTCTTCACTGCTGCTCGAGGCAAGGCGCCTGCCATTGTCTTCATCGACGAACTTGATGCCATAGGCGGAAAGCGTAGGTCGCGCGACGCCAGCTACCACCGCCAGACCCTCAACCAGCTTCTCAACGATCTCGACGGTTTCGACCAAAGCAGTGGTGTCATCTTCATTGCTGCTACCAACCACCCCGAGTCTCTCGACGAAGCCCTGCTTCGCCCCGGACGTTTCGATCGGCATGTTCAGGTCGAACTCCCCGATGTGGGTGGTCGGCTGGCCATCCTCAAGTACCACACCCAGAAGATCCGCCTCTCTCCCGATATCGACCTTTCCACCATTGCCCGTGGCACCCCCGGATTCTCTGGTGCCGAGCTAGAGAACGTTGCCAACTCGGCAGCTATCCGTGCTTCTAAGATTCAGGCAAAGTTCGTCTCTCTCGACGACCTGGAGTGGGCCAAGGACAAAATCAGCATGGGCGCCGAAAGGAAGAGCCGCTCCGTTCCGCTCAAGGACAAGATTCACACCGCCTACCACGAGGGTGGCCATGCGCTCGTCGGTCTCTACAAGCCCGGCTTCAACGATCTGCACAAGGCGACTATTCTTCCCAGAGGTCACGCTGCCGGTATCACCTTTTTCCTTCCGGAAGAAGAGGGCCACCACACTCGCAAACAATACATACGCCAACTGCAGGTCTCTCTGGGCGGCAAGATTGCCGAAGAGCTTGTATATGGTGAGGAGAATGTATCCACCGGAGCTTCTAGCGACATTTCCAACGCAACGAGGATAGCGTACATGATGGTCACTCAGTGCGGTTTCTCAGAGAAGCTCGGCAACGTCGACTACAAATCTAATTACGAGATGGTCGCACCCGAGACCAAGCGAATCATCGACGACGAGGTGCGAAAGCTTATCGACGAGGCAAGAAAGGATGCCAAGGAGCTGCTGCTGTCAAAGCGCAAGGAGCTCGACAGATTAGCCGACGCGCTTGTGCAGTACGAGACGCTGGACAAGAAGGAGATCATGAAGGTCATCAAGGGCGAGGACCTTCCTGGCCGGCTGAAGGCCTTGCCTGACGCGCCCATCAAAATCCCAGATAACCCACTGCCCACGGCAATAAGACCGAGGGGTGATGGTGGTGACGGCCCAGAACCTCCCGCTCCCATACCTGCGTAGATAGCGGGATGGGAATGATGGATGTGCATAAAAGCACGTTGTTTATGAGGTGAATGGCGTTCGTTCGACCTCTTCCCTCTCGTTGGAGGGTTTCGCTTCATTGGTCATGTACAATATTAGGAATACTTTAGCTTAGCGAATAGAGCAAGCTATTGACCACAACGCGCCATAGATCGTGGTGAGAGCCATATGTGGGGATGATGGACAGAAAGAGGTAGATTGATGATAGGAAGAAGGGAATGAGTATGAAAATAGACGCATCAACACAAGTAGCTTCCAATCCGGATGAAGCGGCTGGGTAAGGCTTTGGAAGTCTGCCGCTCCAACCTTTGTGAATTTAACCAGGTAATCGCGATCGCGATTTATTCACTCATGTCACCAACGTGAAGACTATCTTTCACCTGGCGATGGCCACATGAGCAGTGGCGAGTTTCCTAAGCCCAGTCCTCTCTGCATGCACTCTCAATAGTCGCGAAACAAGGACAACCCACTATGTACCTCCGAGCTTTGGCAATCACTGCAGCCAACTCAACTCCTTCACGATCATTTCTACGGCTCCAGCCCCCTCCTTCTGTTCGACCTTGGAATTACAACATGGCCAGCTCCCGGAGCAATAAGAATACGCCTTCGGTATCGCAGAACATCGCCGATGTTGTCGACACGTACGCGTCACAGGCTATAGGTTCATCACAAGCAGAATACTCGCGGCGGTCGTATGATCCTGTTCTGAGCGGTCATGGACACGGTGATGTCAGCATGTCTTCGTCGCCATCACCATCCCCATACCCCCTTTCAGACTCCAGGCGAGCCAACCTCCATCAATCCACATCCACGCATTCAGGCTATCTCGACCGCGCCCAACTTTTCGGTCGCACGCCTATCCAACAAAACGCACGTCCCACCCGCCCTCCTTCAACTTCGAACGAACGAAACATACGAAAGCGATCCTCGCGTACCCCTACTGGTGATTGGGCTGAAGCCGGTCTTCCTGAACCTCCTATTGAGGAAGAGAGGGTTGGCTTGGATAATGCTGAGGGTTTGATTTGTACAAGTAGTGGCATAACGACGCTGGGTGTTGGAGAGGGGACGCCGGGGAGGTTTTCGCCCTCAGCGAAGTCGCCTGCTGAAGATGCGTTGAAGAAGCAGTTTGAGAAGGGTAGGGTAAAGCTGGCTAGAAATCTTGCGCGGCGAACTAGTTTGAATGGGAAGTCGAAGTGGGCTAGGAGGAGTTTTGGTAAGCATCGTGGGGGGTATGTGTCTCCTAAGACGTCTTCGACTGTTTCTGGTGGCGAGGAAGAGGAGGAGAAGGAGGAGTTTGGGTATGTGGATCCGGCAAGTGTACGCGATGTGCTGGCGAGGGTGAAGGCGAGGGAGGCGAGTGGACGTACTCAATCGCCCTTCGATAATATGAAGCGTGCGAGGAATGGACAAGAGCAGCGCGGAAGCTATTTCGAATTGAACGTTCCGCGCCGCAGTAAGAACGCGCACTTTGCCAATCCATCGGATCCAGACAAGCCTTTACCAAAACTTCCGGATCGCCGTGTCTTTTCGGAATCACGGAAACCAGTCAGATTGCTGCCGTCCATGAGGACACCAACTCGGAAGCGCTTATCCCGAGCCAGCAATCGATCTGACCTTTCGTTCTCGCCCATCATTGCTGCCATCGACGTGGCTCCCCAACCAACACGCCAGGATCTCGCTATCACGCCCGTTACCACCCACCTCTCTTTCAGCACCACCACAACAACACTATCTCAGAGGCCTACTACTCCACGTAACCGCACTGGTCTCACCTTCTCCCAAGCCACAGCAATAATCTACGGCTGTATGGCTATAACAGCATCACACCAAGCGCTTCTTGGTCTGGGCGGCGACATCGCTGCTATGGACTTGATCATAGGTCTATTCGGTGCTTTCCTTCTCGGCCTTGCTATTTGTGTAGTTCTAAAAATGCTGCTCGGTGCTAGATTGCGACGCGTGCCGGGGGACGTTCTGCGATAGTGCAGGCGGGCATAGGGTTTAGTACGAAAGGCCTTTTGGGACAGATTTGAAGATGGGGTTTCAAAGCGCCGCAGATAGATGCAGGATGAAGCATGTATGTTGTTTGAATGCCGGTATGGAGACAGGTTGTTATATGACAGGCCGATGAGTCAACTGGTGATATGGAGGGCAAGGAGTCGATATAAGAACGCTGCGTGTCACGGTATGGCTAGTCCTTATCTGAATGCAATGTTGATCCCGATATCATTCCGTGAATCATACTGATGACTTGTTCTCATGTGGGTGAGTGTCTGTCTGTAGATGCAAAGGCTTTCACGACCCTCGCTGGCTCTGCTTCGCGCAATACCCATCATCACCAACTCAAGCCCACGCTGCGCCCACACCCATAACCTGTCGTTCCTCCTCCATCCCCACGGTCACTCCTGCGGCCTCCTCCTCCCCTCCTCCGCCTCCCGATCCCCCATCAACGACTCATCCGCATCACCATACTCCATAACGCGCCTACGCGCCTCCCTAGATATCGCCTCGTTCTCTTCCTGCACACGGCGCCGCTCCGCTTTCGCCCGTGCCTCGATAAGATCCTGGACGTAAATCGTAGCGTCGGTGAGCTTGGTGATGATGAAATTGGCGATTGCACGGGGGGAGCCTGGGCCGTTGCTGTCCATGGTGTGGAAGAGATGGTGGTGTAGGGTGTGTAGGTTGGGTGCTAGGAGGGTATGTGGGATATGTGAGATTGAGTGGTGTAGACAGTGCGATTTTGAGAGGTCAGAATGAGGGATAGAGGTGGATGTATGGCGGTTGCTTTTATTGCGGCGATGGTGTGTATAGAAAGAGGTGAATTGTGCCTTCACCTGCTTCCCATGGTACGTGGTGGACCCTTATCCGCCTTCCACGTTGATATGTCTAACTTGCCGATGCGTCGCTTCGCGAAGTTCACTACCGCATTCACATTCGATTCCAGCCTTGGAATGCGCCCGCTAACCTTCACTCGTTGCGCTGTCCAAAATCGGTGGCCACATGCATGCAGTACCAACATGTCAAGACTTGAAAAAGTATCTCCTTCGTCTCTTACTCCACATCCTATTCATTCTTAGAACACCATGGCCCCACCATCAACAATGATATCCGTCCCATTAATATACCTCCCGGCATTACTACACAGCAGCACCAACGGCCCCGTAAGCTCCCACGGATGCCCCATCCTCCCCATCGGATTCCTATCATTCCAACTCTTCCGCGCCCTAACCAATCCATCGCCATCATTCAATATCGTATCCATATACCCCGGGCTCAGACAATTAACCCTGATACCATAGCTACTCCACTCCGCAGCCAAACTCTTCGCCAGCGACAGCAAGGCTGTCTTGGACGAATTATACGCGCATTGCGGCTGTGGGTAGTTCGTGTGATGCGCCGAGATACTCGCCGTAAACGTAACACCACCCCCCGTCCCCTGCGCACGAAACTGCTTCGCAACAGCCTGAGCACACAAGAACGACCCCGTAAGATTGATGTCGTGGGTGCGCCGCCATTCGTCTGCCGCCATCTCAATCGCGTGTGTGCAGCCTACTACGCCTGCGAAACAGCAGAGCATGTCTATGCTACCGAGTACTTTGACGCTGCTTTCCACGGCTGAAGCAATGGCTTTCTCGTCGCGCACGTCGACGGCTTCGGTTATGATGCGCGCGTGCGGGAACTTGGAGTGCAGTTTCTTGACGCTTTCGAAGGCTTGGTCTGGGTTCATGTCCCACAGGGCGAGGCCGGTGGCGCCGTGTTCGAGGAGGGCGGCTGCGGCTTCGAGTGCGAGGGTGCCGGCGCCGCCGGTGACTATAGTGATAGTGGTTAGTATGATGGTTGCGGTGTGTGGTGTGTGGTGTGTGGATGGGGATGAAGAGGGTGAGGTTACCCTAAAGGCGTTCACGTACTGATCGCATTGCCCTTGACCTGGAACCTATACTGCGCTCTCTCTGCCGTAGACAAGTTCTCCGGGGGCGGTCTGGGTGCTGTAAGAGGGTTGTCTGCGGTCGACAGGGTCATCTCTGGGAGCTGTCGGTTGACGAGCGCGGCGCGGTCTTCTGCGTCTCCTGCCATGTTGATTGAATTTTCGCGATAACGAATTTAATGAGACTTGTAGCGTGTGATCTTGCGTATTGGGACTTCAAGATTCCGATTCGGCCTTCTTATGAACGCGTTCGGACGACAGAGGTCCGTTTGTTCGGAATGTTGGTGGAGCGCGCCCAGCTCGAACATGACGTCGGAAAGGGTCCGCCCCACCAGCGAGTGAGGAAGGTGTGCCGAGCGCGGGGTTCAGTGCGACACCACAATCTCCATTTCCACGGTGTTGATGTGTAACCACAGTGTGCTCATCAATGCGCCTCGGTGGCTCATTGCAGCACTACTGTGTCAGACTCAACATGCTCACAAGTCGCGATGTGCGCATCTGATCCGATCCAGCAATTCCACACAGCGCAACGTGTGGAGCTACTAACCACTGAAGGGTGAATGCCTTGATCGATATGGTCGCTCAGTACCGGCGTCCTTTCACCCAAGACTTGTAATAATTGTAAGCCGAATTTGATCACCTCTATCATGTAATCCTTCCAAATGTGTGAGATCCCACTCAACGGCATTCTTCATTCCGACCAGCTCAACCATGAAATACTCATCGCAACCAACCCCGTCAACCCTCGAAAGAGACTTCGGACCGGAATGGTCCGACCGCCTTCGCACAACTATCGCCTCCAACTCAGAGCTGATGATTGTCGAACAAGAAGCATGGAAAGATCAAGCTCATTGGAGGGACAACGACTCAGCTACCCCGAGACCTGTTGACCCATGGAAGCTGATAACTCCACTGGGGACGCCTCGGAAAGAATATGACGATCCAAGAGAAGACATAGACGATGGTCTAAGATTTGAACAGGGATACGATCCTACGCGATGGGCGCTTGTCAAATACGACTACAACTTCGAAGCTTTTGAGAAAGTCAAAGCGCATCGATTGCGCTGTAGTCTGGAATCGCAAAACTTCGCGAAGAGGATCGTATGGTATGTGTTCTTAGCTGTCTTGCTCCATGGTATCTGGACGCACTGGGATGAGTCTGAGAGGCGCGGCACGTGCGATTGCCATTGTCCGTACTGTATCACAACATACGACTGATGTTTGGAATTGCTGGAAGGAATCGGATCAAATGAGACAATGTATGCGACGCTCTCTTGAGCGTACCATAAGCCGACTGCGATGTTAGAAAGATAGGTTGTCTTCTTCACGTATCCTTGCACGTGCTGGTAGTTAAATAGACGGAGAAGTCGCTGGATTCGCGCAAAACAATATTTTTGATCCACCGCGTTACTTCATAAACGCTGCCTTGACAAGAACTCCATCCATCACCGCGCAGCGCGCGATGCAGCTAAGATGCGGGGTCTCCACATCGTACCTCCCGCTAGTAATAGTTCGATCTGCATCATGAAAACGTACAACGACCCAGCTGACCATCCGCTCCCCGATCATGACCGGCAGGCCCGGGGTCTTTCCACTCATCTCCTCGCGACCCTACCCAATTCCATCCAATGGCAAATGGCGATGACCCGGTAAGACGCGGTACCAAAAGAGCAAGAACGCGGCACGGGTTAGTACACTCAAAAGCATACCACACCACACCACACCAACCACAAAACGCTAATACACATCCCCCAGCTGCATCAACTGCAAAGTAAAAAGACGCAAATGCGACGAAAGTAAACCCACATGCGGTCGCTGCAGCAGCAAGAACGAAAAATGCAATTGGGCTTCTCGCCTCACCTTCCGGGCCGAGAATGCTCTAGGTGTCGGGCCATCGTCGCTGCATCGCCCGCCGGGACGACCGCCTGCGCGCTTCAAGATCAAGGACGTAACTGCGGAAGTTATACGCGATTATCAGCATTACGATGCAGTAGTGGATGAGCTTGATACGCCAGATCGATTTGATGATCGGCAGAGTCCTCCTTCTGACAATATATCGCCAGCTACAGCCGACGAGCAGGTCCCACAGCATCAAGCTCACGCTCACCCATATTGGACGCCAAACACGCCTTTCTCGGCTGCAGAAGATACTATAGACCCTCTCCAGTCGACCCAGTACGTGCCTTTACCCACTCCAGGAGATATCGAATCCATCTGGCACAGTCCCGGCACGACTACGTATCTAGACGACAGCGTATTCCTACCAGGTTCAGCGTATCTCGATGCGCATTCCACGTTTCGGAGCCATTTAATACAGGAAGTGAGATCTAATGTACCAACTCGAGAGGTTACACCTGATGCTGTGCGTATTGGACAGGGCTGGGGAGGGGTGCAAGAAAATTACGCTTCAGATGCAGGTGCAGCGAGGCACGTTATGGGAACCTCACTTGACACCGCTCCCATCGACGAGTCAGAAACGCCAAATATATCGCCACCCCAGCTATCCCCAGAAGACGACTTCGAACTATGGAAAAACTGGCTCAACGAAGTAGCACCCTGGATCGATAAATTCGACCCGGAGCGACACTTCCAACGCACCCTACCCATCATGGCACGCTCGCACGATCACTTGCGGTACTCGATGCTCGCTCTCTCAGCCCGCCAAATAGAGCGGAAGAATAACAGTAAACATACCTCGCGCAGTCTAGCGCTCTACCAAACAGCCATCCAGCTCGTCCTCCCACAACTGCATACCCGCAGCACGCCCGTGATAGCATCATGCGTAGTGCTATGCGTACTCGAGATGCTGAGTAGTTCGGCGAAAGCATGGCATCAGCATCTAGATGGCTGTGCGCATTTGTTAGAAGCTGTGGGAATCAACGGGTTCAGCGGTGGTGTGGATCAAGCGCTGTTTTGGTGCTTTGCTCGCATGGACGTCTGCGGCGGGCTTATCGCATCGTCTAAAACGCTCATACCGGTTGAGCACTGGGCTTCTTCAGGAATGGGTCTCGATGCCGATGTGGACCGTTTCCGTTCAGTCAGCAGCTACAACGTTTACGCGTGCGAAGCCGTGTATCTCATTGCCCAGATCCTTGACTTACTGTCTTTCCATTCAAATCTAGCTGGTCGCGTGGGCGCCACACCACGCTCATCCACAGACACAGACGCCGCATATTCCGCTCGTTGGACTCAACTCTGGCACCACATCTCAACATGGTACACCACGCGCCCCGCAGAAATGCTCCCAACCTCCTCCTTCACCCCACCCACCACCCCCTTCCCCCGTCTCCTCTACAGCAACCCTGCCGCCATGTCTGGCAACCAACTCCACCACACTGCCTGCATCCTTCTCCTCCGTCACAAACCTCCCAACACCGCCGTGACACCCAAACCGAACTCAATCTTCTGGCACGCAAGACAGATTTGTGGGATCTCGATTAGCAATGATGATCATGCTGCTTGGACGAATGCGATTCAGCCGCTGTGGATTGCGGGGCAGTGGATGAGCCATGAGAGTGAGCAGAAGGCTATTTTGCAACTGCTGGAGAAGATTGAGAGACTTTCGGGGTGGAGTACGAAGTGGAGGGCGGAGGATTTGAAGGAGTTTTGGGGGTAGTGGGGAGGTGGTAGTTTGAGGCTGCGGTTCAGCCTGGTGTTTTACAGCGTGTGTGGTGGCGATGTTACACAAGCCTTGGGTTATTTGCCGCTGGAGGCGCATCTGAAGTCCTGACGAATGAGGCTCCCAATCATGTTCGACGAACTTGGAGGCAGAAGTTCAGCTTTCGAAGCTCAGTGTCCAGTCATGAAAGCCTCTCGTGTTCACGGGCTTGGCGGCGTCGTCTGGCCCCCCATGTTCAGCCTCGTAGCCTGGGCTATTATGTTAAAAGCTTTGCTGTTGCCAGATGTTGCGACAGTCTAATTCATATCGGCATAGCCTTGCTGTAATTCGAATTAGCTGATATGGGCAACAGCTTCGGTTTCCTCAGAGGCGAAAGTGGAAGTGGGTTCCAGTTCAACGTGGTGGAGGCTTGCAAGGCTGAGGATGTGGATCTCGCTCAAGCTTGCAGCCTAACGTTTGGTGCGGATCATGATCTGGTCTCGATCGGCAATGTTACGAGGGGCAGGATGGCGCCGCAGCCTGGCATCGCTGGCATCGGAGTAAGTCAAGGACACAGTTCGCAGATATTGTGCTGACATAGCCAGATATGGATCGCGATGGTACTGTTCTTCGCTATTGTTGCAATCTCCTTGATCTTCGTCTTTATCGAGCTCTGGTTCAGGGCAGACGTCTCGTAAGTAACACGGCGCGTACCCTGTTGATCTAGACTAAGAGTGAACGCACATAGCCAATTCGGCAGCGCCTTCGCAAGTTTTAGAGACAAGCCCAACAACAAGACTCCCGAAAATCCGAACGCGGATCCAACCTGGAAAGACAGAGTGCGCTCAGCTGGCCGGACGTTCGTATTGGGCGTTGCAGATACTCAGACTATCTTCGTTGGAGCGTTTCTTCTCGGTTTTGCTGGCCGAAGCAAGTGTAAGCTGACAAGCTACCATTTCACAGTCGCCGTCAGTCAGATGATGATTGCTCTGTCTGTTCTCACCTTCTCCATCGCACTGGTGCGGACCTATTGGCGAAATCCACTTGCAGCCGCTTTTCGACTAATTCTTTCCGTCGGGGCCTTCATCGGTGTCGGATTGACCATCTTCAGGGAAGCCAACTATGCTCCGTATGACGCGCTCAAGCACTCGAGCCAAGACAGCGCCATCCTCCTTCCGGTAGCATGTATGCTGGAAATGGACCTACGATCAGCAGCAGAAGAGCAAGCGCGTCAGAACCAAGCTGAGCTCGGTTTCGGAAACGCAACAGCGTGGCCACCTGAAAGAATCATGTACATAGTCCTCGGCGTCGCTTTCATTGCTGCGCATATCTCAGTCCCCATCCGCTTCGCCGAATCCAGAGACCGCGCACCGAAAGTGTGGACGGAGAAGCGGGCATTCGTCACCTTGATCTACTGGATCTTGGTGTTGCTCACACCCATCGTAACGTCAACGTTCTGCTGGTTCCGCGTGTACACAATGCGCGAGTGGGTCGCTGGTTCAGGGTGGATGGAGAATCCGAATACGGAGATGATAGTGTGGGATTCGGGACAGTTGATTGCTATGGGTGTGCTTATTACGGTTATCATGAATGTGCTTACTGAGGCGATGGAGAGGGAGAAGAAAGACGCGAAGAAGAGGAGTGACGGGATGGATGGAGAGGCTGGAGTAGAGTTGCTGCCGACCGCGTATCGTGGGTATGAGTATTAGGGTGCACGCGTCTAGAGAATGGTAGAGTATGGCGGGCCAACTGTAGCCAGGATATGTGACGGCGCGACCGATTATGAAGCTATCTTAGCATCGTGTCGGGTTTTGCGCGTTGTTGAGAGTAGATTTCGTTTGCGCATGCATTGTGACATTGTGTTGGTGTTGGTGATGGTGAAGAGTAGGCGCGTCGCGATTTCAAAGCGCGATGACGGCACCAGCGTGCACGGACTCTCGGAGGTTGCGGCGATGTCGACTACTGTATGGTTGTCTCCATTACCACGACCATCGCCGCCCGAGACACGCAGAACCCGGTCGAAGGCCTTACGTAGCTTGCGCCTTCTATATACGAATCACGACGCCGAGTGCACCTCTTTCCCTACGGATGGGCACACCACCACATCGCCCCCAACTGATCGCTGCCTTGGCTGGTGCCGTGTGCTTTCACTATTACCGTTATACAGCGACATATTCACACCTAATCTAATACTTCCCCTGCAGACCGAATCACCACCGAGAGCGTCAGAACCTATCTAAACACATTTACCCTACACATACACCGATCCGACGTCTCGCATTGGCCTCTTCAACGCCCCGCCACCATGTTCACGAGCTTCACCGGCAACACGCGAAAGGCGCGCCAAGTCAACCTCGGCGGCAAGAAGACGAATCCCTTCGGCCCTCCCGGCTCCGGTGCCGGGTCACAAGCCGCCCTCGACCGCGCACAGCAAGAGCGAGCGCAACGGCAGCGGGAACGAGACACGCTCAATGCGGCCAAGCGGATACAGAAAGTGTGGCGGGGTCACTCCGCCAGGAGATATGTGGCGGATGAGCTACGGGGCGCATGGGACCGGGTAGAAGAGGCGAATGGCTCTTCGAGGACGGCGACATATGGCTCGGAGGAGGAGGCTCTTGCCCAACTACAACGGCTGCTTCGATTCGCTTCCTCACGGAGCGATGACGACCTACGACGGATACAGCACTATGCATCGCGCCAGATGGAAACGGTCAAGAAGTTGGGCATCACATCAAGCGGGCCGTGGCCGTGGGCATATCTAAGGCTGGAGCGCATCCTACTCGTGGCCATAGAGCGGCAGCTTCAAAAGCACGCGCCCATGCAATGGAATCAGGTTGGGGCCTCTCTCACCGTCTTACAGTTCCTCGCAGACCAGATACCCGCCGAAACGTCCCAGAACGCCGAGCATTACTACCGTACTCTTGCACGCGTCGTGTCCACCTTTACCCCAACACTTGAAACGCAGCGCGAAGGATCGGAGATAAGTGACACCATAGTCAGGGCAGCCCTCTCACCAATGACGCGGGTGACTGGCTACACACTCGACGCTTATGAGGCCTTCGGTATACACTTCCTGACCCTCCCACTATTAGGCTCGGACTCAACGTCACCACCATTACAAAAGTTCCGCGACTCGCTCGCTGACGCCATCAACTACAAGTTACTCGCAAACGCATTGGCGACACTTTCCAAGAGGGCAGGACTGCAAAGCAAATCCGAGCTGAAGAACACATCAAGTAGACTGCGTTTACTGGGGAACTTCATCTACTTCCACCGCTACGCCCACAACTTCGACACTCCCGAAGCCTACGCTGTCCACAAAGATTTTGTAGCCGTCGTATCGGTTCTGTTGAACTCCCTGCCAATCAACATTGTAGATGACGACCATCCGATCGCCGAGCTTTCCGAAGACGAAGGTGCCGAACAAGACTCCAGTGCCGTGTCGAATTTCTTGAAAGAGCAAGTCCGCTCCCTGGTACATCAGGAAGGTATTGGAAGTCTTTTGGCCGGATCATCACAGTCAGCGGAAGCTTCAGATGATGAGAAGGTCGAAGAAGCCCGGCAGCTTGCAAACTACGCCCTTGCGTTACTTCGCTTCTTCCCTCGTCGCGGGGACGAGATACGAATGTGGCTTTACATCGGCCCATCAGAGGCGTCTGGAAAGAGCGCAAGGAAGCTTCCGGCGATCAGATACTTTTGGGAAGCATCGAAGCGATCATCGGTCTTTACCACCATCTTCCGGGACTCAAGGGCAGCTATTGGACTCTTGAAGCCGAAATCTTCAAATCTGAACAACTCTGACCGCCCCGGCACATCTGGACTAACGCAACATGGATTTTGGCAGCCAGCAAAACAGCAAGTCGATCGCGATGCAGTCACCACCGACGAATGGCGCGTCATTCTGGTATTCCTCGAACTATACACCTTTGTACTCAAAGTCACCGACGACGAGGAGTTCTTTACGTCGGGGCAGAAAGACATCTACTCGGGCCAGATCCGCGACAGCGGCTTGCCTCTAAGTGAAGTTAAGGACCTGACGACCTTTCTAAAGAATTTGGGTTTTACGCTCTACTTCAACGCAGTAGACATTACAACCTCGGAAGAGGATATGGGAGGCAATAACAGAAGTCTCAGCTACTTTAACCCTGGGGTTATGGACAACCAAGCCCAGAAAGAGCATAGTGAGCCCTCAATAGGTGGTGTTGCAGGCTTGAGGATAGATTACGTCAAAGGGTTGGTCACTGGACTACTTCGTATGGTATACGAACGCGACTCGCGACGCAAGTTTTTGCCTTCAGACCACTGGCTTATGGTCTCGCGCTTTGACATGACGGGGTTCATCCCGGCTGTAGTTGAGGAGGAAGAGTCGCGGCACAAGATCCAAGAGGAAGATGCGGAAGATCTTGACGACCTGGAAGAAGAGGAATTCGACGACACGCCACAACTTATCGGCACCAGCCGTACCCAGACACAACGACGCTTGGAAAAACTACAACGGCAGCAGCGCAAGGCTTCGCGGAGACGGTACCTACAGGCTGTCGCGCCTCGTCTCGAGATCTTGCAGAATATGCCTTTCTTCATACCCTTCACCACCCGCGTTCAGATCTTCCGCGAGTTTGTCAAACTAGATATGATCAAGCGACGAGGATCCGCGGATCCTGAGTTCTGGCGGTTCCGGACTATGCAGCAACCTAATGCACGCAGCCAACTCGAGAAGCATACGGCTAGGATCAGAAGAGAGAACGAGTTCGACGATGCTTTCGAACAGTTCTATGAACTAGGCCAGGGCTTGAAGGAGCCAATCCAGATTACATTTATGGATCAATTTGGCGCTCCTGAGGCGGGCATCGATGGAGGTGGTGTTACGAAGGAGTTCCTCACCAGCGTCACCAGCCGAGCATTCATGCCAACTGAGTACATCGACATGTTTGTTGAGAACGACCAACATCTTCTATATCCCAACCCCGCAGCAGTCGAAGAACACAAAGAGGCCCTTCGCCAAGCCGGCATACGTGAGGGATCACAAGAGTACCGTGCCCAGATCACCGAGTTGCTCCAACGCTACGAATTCCTAGGACGCATCATCGGCAAATGTCTGTACGAAGGTATCCTAGTCGACGTCAACTTCGCCCCCTTCTTCCTGCGCAAGTGGGCATTAACCGGCGGCACGGGCTCCGCGCCCAACGAATCCGGCTACCGCCCCACGCTCAACGACCTCCGCGATCTAGACGAAGAGCTATACCAAGGCCTTCACAAGCTCAAAACCTACCCGGGCGACGTCGAAGACTTCTCGCTCAACTTCACCGTCACCGACACCGTCATCGTAGACCACACGACCTCGCCCAAGAAAACAAAAGCCATAACCAAGGACCTCAAGCCCGACGGCTCCAACACCCCCGTCACCAACCAGAACAGGCTTGTGTATATAAGTTACATGGCGCGCCACCGCCTGCAAAACCAACCCTACGCCCAAACCACGGCTTTCCTCCGCGGCCTCGCCACCATGATCCAACCCTCCTGGCTCTCCATGTTCAACCAATCCGAACTCCAGACCCTCATCTCCGGTACCCGTACGTCCATCGACATCGAAGACCTGCGCCGCAACACCATCTACGGCGGCACGTATGTCATCGGCGACGATGGACTTGAGCACCCGACTATACAGCTCCTCTGGAAGGTCATGAAGGAGATGAGCGATGATGAGCGCCGTGCGGTGCTGAAGTTTGTGACGAGTACGCCCCGCGCCCCGCTGCTGGGGTTTGGTACGCTGAATCCGAGGTTCAGTATTAGGGATGCGGGGAGGGATCAGGATAGGTTGCCTAGTACGAGTACGTGTGTGAATTTGTTGAAGTTGCCGATGTATGAGGATGAGAGGACGCTCAAGGAGAAGTTGCTGTATAGCGTTTTCTCGGGCGCTGGGTTTGATCTGAGTTAGGGGTTTTGTGGGGCTTGGGGGAGAGGATTGGGGGAGGATTGGGGGAGGGGAAGTTGATAGATTTGCATAGCATGGTATTATGGGGCTATTATGAAGTAGACTTGCATTATGCATGTATACCGTTTAACTGCAACTTGATCGCTTCTGAATATTGTGTATATTAGCCATGTGCAGCAGTCTTTCTTCACATCGCCAGTGATGGTTTTGTTCGCCACAGGGTTGTTCGTCTCAAACCATCAAATTGTAGAGATATCAATCGTTTTCGTGGGTTCAATAGCGTATAGTAGTGGCTCGCGGCGCATCGTCTATGGGTCATTGTACGGATAATCGCAGTACCTTGGGATGGGATGGAAAATGAGTTTGAGATTTTCGCACACAGATGTGATTCAAAGGGAAAAGTATTGAAGCTTCACTGTCGGCCAGAGACCTAGAGGTCTCGCATTGTATCTGGGCCACCGAGCGAACCGAATAATAGGTTGTAACTTAGGAAAAGCAACGACAAGAGGATTATGAGGAGAATGAACGTGAGCCCAGGCCACTTCCGAGATTCGCTGTTCTCCTTTCTCCATTCCGTTGAGAGTATAGCCTGAGCCTCGTCGTACTTCGTGTTGAACTCGTCTAGATCTTGCTGTGTGCTATCGCTCTTTGCGCCGGATGAATTTGCGGTTATGACTCTAGATTGGAATTCTCGGAGCAAACATCGGACACCCGAAGCAGTCATTTCAGGATGTTGTCGGAGTTCGCGATCATTGAGGAAGGCGAGGCACAGATCCATGGTGCTCGCATTGTCAGACCGCAATCCTTTTTGGTCCGCGGAAGATAGGTAATTGGCGAATAAATTCCAGCAATCGTGTAGATCCATGTGAGGAACGGTTTCTGCATCCATAGCAAGAATTTGGACAATCGCAGTAACCGCTTTCGTACCTGATGGGCCGTCCAGTGGAAGTTCTCTTTCCATGTAGTACCGTATGAGTTCAAGGGTCAACGAAGTTCGTTGTTGGGCTGTGACGGATTCTTCCCACGAAGCTTTGTCGGCAACATAAAGATAACAGCCGTATCCCATGGCAAGACTGCAGAAGGAAGGATGCGGCCGTTCAACATAATAGGCGGGTATCATTGTATTGGCCTGTTGTTTGGCGAATCGTTCGAAAGTCATGTCTCTCGTTGCGGTCCATTCGGCATCTAACACTCGCTTTTTGAACATCATCGCCTTCTTCCAGTGACGCCTAATAGTCTTTTCCATATCGTCTAGTAACGCCGTGTATGGACGAAGGTTACGTTCTTCCAGAAAGCTGGCAAACATAAGTCCTTGCCGCAAGTTCGCAACAGAACGGTTGGTTTCTGCTACAATTGCAGATTCCGAAGGCAATGCCTTCATCTCGAGAAGACTTGAAACGAGCAGAGTAAGGTCGACGTTGAAGTCAGAGCCAGCTTGGGTCTTCAGTAGGTCCCATGTCTCATCAGAGCGGAAGAAGTCAATAGCAGTCTTGTGGTAGAACCCGACCCACGCGTCATTAGAAGACGAGCCTCGCTCAACGATATTGTCTTGGTCTGTGACTTCAAGCAAGCCTTTCGTATGGCCATCGATCCTTCGCTTCATCCACAAGCACAGCGATCTTCGCTTGTCTGGCGGCATGGTCCGCACTTCCTCGGTAACCGCCTTTTCAGCAGTAGTGTCCTCACTGTCGGCTAAAGCTAGCTGGAGAAGGCTTATCGGCTCGCAATATGGCACTTCCTCGCTTCTCAGCATTATGAGAATCATCCGAGCCGTACTCTTTTGCGTTGCTGGGTCTAGCGATTTGAACATGCGCTTATAGATTTCGTAGAGGTCCGAGGGGAGCGAGTCAAGCTTGCGTTGCAACGTAGATGCTGTTTCACCATTTTGTAGTCCGTCTAGGATTGAACGAAGCGCTAACACCACCCAGAGAAAAACGCCGTCTGATTTGTCGCATAGGCCGCGCACCAAGGTTGAGCGAAGCTCTGGATCCAATTCTTCCATTTCTCTTAAGCCTCGGGAGTGATCCAGCCTATCAGAAACAAATTTCATCATGTCCTGATACGTCAGGTCTTGTAACCGAAGCTGAGGCATGTTGTGAAAAGCGTCAGTAAACTCCATCAGGGGTCGGCTAGACAGCACCAGCTTCACGTTATCGTATGAAGACAGTGTTTCGAAAACACGGATAAGATCACCGTGATATCCAGCGTACTCATCCAGTCCATCAACGAAGAGGCAGATTCTGAGGCCTTTGGAGTTTTCGACAAGCAGATGAAGAGCTCCTATAAGCTCTGGAAGCGCCCAGGAGAGTTCCAGCTCACGTCCTGCAACAATCTCTGTGCAGATCTCAGGGAAGACGGATGGTATGAGCCGTGGACATTGCGTAAGGAGCGTATGCAGCAGCCCTCGTAATAAACCTTCTTGCGATGATTGCAGGGTATGTCCGGCCGCCCAGAAGAAGAACCTAGCCTGTAGCAACGTAGAGCCACCACTCCATGAGTCGAGAAGATCAGTGGTTTTAGGGTCTGAGCAGATGTACTTCATTAGGGTAGACTTTCCGCTCCCAGCCTTTCCTGAGATCCAGTACAAACTGTGTCCGCTACGGAGCCATTCCGCGAAGTCGGACCAGCGAAGGTCTTGCTTGGGAGCTTTGAAGATCCATTCGTACGTGTCATGATGGGCTATCGCTGTATCGCTGAATCTGCTTTGCAGCCCACGATAATGCAGCGCGGCCAAAACTTTTGTCGCAAGCGGCGAGAATCGCTCGTTGAAGACCGTTTCCCGGGGATGTGTGTTAGATTGGTCTCTGAACGTGATCACACGTTCGATCAAGTTGCCAGGGGCCGAGTCTTCTTGGCCGGCAAGTGCGAAGTCTTGGTCGGCGACTGAAAATGTGGTGCCGTCTTCGAGCCCCAGAATGACGCGGAGCACTTTCTCCCTTCTAGTATGTTCGCTTTTGTTTCCGGCATTTCTTGTGAGATCTCGAGGCGACGCCGATAATCCCGAAGAACTCTGTGTGAACGTCAAAATCTGCACAATGCGCTTACTTGCCGTCTCCAGACTGTCAAGGCGCTGAGTCACTTCTGACGAGTGTACATCCGTCTTCGCGTTGAGTAGGGCAAGGAGGCGCAACGAGAGATCCTGCTGGTAGCCTTTAAGCTTTTTAACAAGCCCTTCGATTTCCTCTTTCTTCAAGATAGTCCGAAGCGCAATGTGGAAACTTTTCCATGCAGATATCTTTTTCGCCTTTGGGATGAGGTCCTCAAGATATCTGATGATTTCTGTCCCAACTTCAGAGCAACCTGCAATGATGCGGTCGAGGGCCTTCGACAGTTAGCACCTCATTCATCCATGCAGTTACACAAGCTGGGTTTAGGATGTACCTCATATTCATCCTTGAGTGAGTCCTTGCGACCGGTGATTGGTGCACGCAAGCCATTGACCCAGGATTTGAGTTCCTGCGCTCGATGCTCGATCTCTGACACGCCGATGGTGGTACCTTCCTCGTGAATTTTGTGGCCAAGGAGTACAACTTTGACAGTGAAGTCGATAAATGTGACAACAGACGTCGCGGTCGAGACTGCGCTGACGGGATCCATCACAAGGACCAGAACTGATGACGGGTTGAGAGATGTGCGGATTAGCGCAAGGCCGGAGCCAGTCTTTATCTAAACATTACGCGCGGAATCAAGAGTGAGCACTGGAATCGATACCACGCCATGCAGCCAGGCTGAGGCTGCAGGCCCCGGTTGAAGTTGCATTGTACACTGATTCCGACCTATCACACTACCAGTACAGAGCTGGCATTTGAAGTGGCGGGGGCGAAGCTGCAGCTGAGGGCTGAGCAGCGCGCGCACTGCGTAGGCGTGAGTATGCCTACCGCATACCTGGTATCGAGTAAGCCAGTAAACACCCCTTTGGCGAATGGCTGAGACTTGACGAATGGCTGATGGATGTTTGATGCTGACAGTGGGCGATTTGGAGTTCAGAATCGTGGTCGAAGCGAAGCGAAGGCGCAGCCTGCAGGCGCGACACGGCCGCTACTACCCGCACCTACAAACGTGCTCGACCCCACTGTTAAACCCAATAAACCCTAATGCCATCAGGTACAATACTTCCGTTGTTTGCGCGCTCGTCTCGTGATGATCCGATTGCAATGACTTTGGTACAATACTTTTACACCAGCACGATATCTCTGACCACACCCTCGTCTGATGTTATTAATTGCCTTTGCACAGGGTTAACAAATATACAGTAGAGGTTTCGTGATTGACTACGTTGTTATGCGTAGATACAGACATATGTTTCATGTCCACATCACATCTTATACCATTACTATCCAACTCAATCCCATGCATACTCCACCCCACCACCCCTCTACTCATCCTCCCCATCCCCATCCATCCCCGGCGGCATCGGCGGAATACTAAAATCCTCCAAACTCGCCCACTGACTACTCTTCCACCCCCCACCAACCGCCTGCGTCATCCCAAACATAGGACTACTCCACCCCTCACCCTCCGCAGCAACCTTCTCCGGACTGGGAAAACTACTAGGTATAAACAACGGCGGCGGTTTATCGGGCGAGATATTCGGCTGAGAACTAGCGATGCGATGGGGCGTTGTGTGCGTGCTGGAGAAATGCTGAGTGGTACGCTTACGTCGGGGTGTGCGCTGTGTGATCTCATCCACGGTTGTTGCTTGAGAAGGGTGGTAGCCTGATGGTTGGTGGTTTGAATGGGCTGCTGTGTTTTGGTTTGGGGGGAGGCGCGGCGTGTCGTTGTAGCTGAAAGCGTCGGGGGCGGCGCGCATGCTTGAGGAGTCGGGGGCTCGGGCGTTGATGTATTGCGAGTATGAGAACCATTCGTTGTGGAGTTGTTGTTCGGCTTTGCTGGAGTGGGACTGTTGGGTTTCGTGGTCGGGGGATGGGGAACGGGGGACTTGAATGGATTCGCCGTTTAGGTCTGCTGAGTGGTGGAGGTCTGTCGAGGTGGACTGCGGTACATGTGCCTTGCTTGATCGTGGAGGCGTTGGGTCTGGTGGTGGGGCTTCTTCTTCTTCCGATGAATCGTCGTTGATGATCATCGGTGTGGATGGGCAGGTTTCTTGATTGAGGTCTTCGATGACTGGAGGGGTGGAGCGGAGCTGCTCTTCTGGTAAGGGTAATTCTCCTTCACTACTGGTATTAGCCTCGCTCTTGATTGGCCTCTCTCCGTTCGACGGATTGAACGTGACTGTGGGCAATATCGTTGCGTCGTCGTCTTCGTCATCCTCGTATTCGTCCTCGTCATATCCGGGCTTCTGCTTAACAGCGACGTACTCGGCTATAGTAGAGGACGATCTGCCACTCGACTGCTTTTGCGGGTCGCCAAGTTCGGGAGAAGGTTCTTGGTCACCTCGGAGCTCGGGTAGATCGCCTGATTCCTGTGATGACGCCGAATCCTCCATAGCCTCCTCTCCATTTGCATCGGAACATGCCTGGTCGATCCTGTCAAGTACTGCCTGAGTATCAGCGCCAACGGCTTTCCCAGTCGCAGCTTCACGGCGCCCGGAAAAGGCTTGCGCATCCCCATCTCCGCGACATCCTATAGTGGGCAGATCTTCTTCTATGACACCATCATCCTCGTCTTCAGAGTCTTGAATCGTACTCTCGAACTTCCTCAGTGTTGGTGGTGGTATAGGTGTTATTGAGGGCATCTTGAATGTCACCTGCTTGCGTTTCGAAGGTGTCTCTGGTGCAAGTATTGGGTTGTCCGAGCGCTGCTTGAGGGGTGATCGGTGTAGCTTTTGTGGAGAGACTTGGGTCGATAGTGGCGAGTCGGCGGGTGACTGAGAGGAGGGAATCTCGCGAACACGGCGTTTCTCTGGAGTCGATAAAAGGCTGAAGCGGGCTTTGCGGGTTCTGGCCTGCCCTTGCGGCGCATAGAAAGCTTCTTCCGTATCTGCGACTCGTGGTCTATTTCCTCGTCTCGTCGCGCGGGTCATTCTTGTGACAGGCGCTTCGATGAACTGTGTGGGTTTGTAGCTGTCTTCGCAGTCCTCGTCCATCTCGTCTTCCACTGATTGCACCACCAACTCCGGGGTGTCTTGCGAGTTTGCCGTGGGCTCCTTCTTAATGTGTTCGTCCTCTGGGTTCTGCTCCACGTCGTTGCCAGCTTCATTTTCACCGTTGTCCTCTCTTGCACCATTCCCCTCGACTCGATAAAACCCTTGTTGGGCAAGGCGCTGCGCAACAGCATCGCCGTAGGTCTGACTAGCCCTGTCTTCTGCCTCGACATCGCTCAACATCTCGTCTAGATCCTCATCTGACATGATCTCTTGTGGTCGCATGCCTGGTATCATCTGCGTCAACGTGCGCTGCTTCCGGTCGCTCTTTGCTTCGCTTTTGCCACGTCCACCCCAACTCAGTCGCGAGCTCTGTTTTACGGGCTTAAAGCTAGGCTCTTCGTCATCTGGCAAGGGCTTCCGTCCGTCTACCAATTGCGTCATTGTTGACTGTCGCTGTAATGTGCGCTCGCGGTTGGTCTTGGTGGCGGTCGCATCGTTCTCGTCACCGGATTCGGCTTCAACGCGCCTCGAGCGGCGAGGATTCTTAGGCGTGGCTGCCGTCCTTCGGCGTTTAGATGTAGGTTCCGATGTTTCCTTCTCTCCATCATCTTCCTGCTGCACCCCATCGCTGTTCCTCTTCTTCCCCTTCCTCTTCGTCTGCCTCACAGGCTGCTCTTCTTCTTCCTCATCCACCTCAACCTTGATAGAAACCCCTCCGCTTTCCAAATCCTCCTCCAGATCTATATCACTATCCTCATCCGAGTCAGCGACAACAGGCGTACCCTGCCTCCTCATCTTGTCCGGCAGGAAGACCATTTGCCGCTTCCCATCATGTACCGGAGTCGAGCGCCGGCGCACAGTCTTGCGCTTGTGTGGAAAGCGCACCTGCTGGGGCACTTTCTTGGAATAGTAGACTTTGTAGTCGGCGTCTTGGTTGCTCGAACGCGTCTTGGGCGTCATGGTGGGTGGGTGGAGCAATCGATAAGTTGGGGCGTTGGAGCGTTGGTCGACGCGACGCGTTGAGGGGACTAGCGCGATTCTGAGGATGACAGGGGTGTGCGTCATCACCACTTTCGCTCCTGCCGTTTCCGACTCATGCATACACTGCTCGTCAACACCATACATAAAGCATGCGAACTGTTAACTCAACTCATGCACATCCACAGGTCTTGGTCGACTTACGAAAATTCCTCAAGAACCATGCGCGATGAGCTCACAGCCATCATACCTCATCATCGGGGCTGGAGTCTTCGGTGTCTCCACTGCGTACTACTTGATTAAAAAGTACCCCGAAGCACATATACAACTGGTTGACCGAACACAATACCCCTGCCCTCTTGCCGCATCCTGGGACTGGAACAAAGTCATCCGTGCAGACTATGGCGACATCTTCTACATGGAACTGGCGTTGAAAGCCATAGGGTACTGGCGACATGACCCACTCTTCAGGCAGTTCTACCACCAGAGCGGTTTGATCAATATCGACAATACCGACCTGGGTAACCAGATCTTGAAGAGCTACGAGAAGCTTGGTATCGAAGTCGATGCAGAGATGGTGAGCCCGGAACGGTTCAAAGAGATGTACGGTTCTTTCTACGACAACACCGACTTCTCTGAAGTTGGCGAAGTATTCGTGAACAGGGATAGCGGGTGGGCCGAAGCCACCAAGGCTTTAACTGCTTACACTGACGCCGCCATTGAGGCAGGAGTCAAGTATACCGCAGCTGACATCGATGTATTAACTTTCGGTACTGATGGAGAATGTACTGGAGTTCTGACGAAGGGTGGTGAGAACATCGCAGCAGATCGCATCATCCTGGCGACCGGTGCAGGCACGGCCAAACTAATCGCCGACAGTGCTCCGAACAGGAAAGAGCTTCAAGTTGACGGGCGTCTGGTTGCCGGAGCAGTGGTCACTGGCATCGTCAACCTCGACCCAAAGAATGGGCAGCAATACACCGAAATTCCGGTTACAGTACATTCTGTCTTACCAACACGAGGTAAAAAGACCAAAGCCCATCGTTTGCATCCCTATTGACACAATCTAGGGGAAGTGATGCCATTAACAGCGCCATTGTCCGACCAGGACCCATACACCGTCAAGTTCTGCAGAGACGAGGCCTACAAGAACACCGTCAAACACGAGGCATCAGGTCAAGAGTTCTCTTCCCCGCCGAACGAGCCCGGTCAAGCGCAGAGGCAGCCGAACGAAGCTCTTATGCAGCGGCTTGAACTCGTCAAGAACGACATACTGGGTGAACCTGGGAAGAACGTCAAGTTTGACGAGTATCGTGTGTGCTGGTAAGTTGCGCGGCGCAACCACCATGATGAACCGGGCTAATAGTATCTAGGGATGCAGTGACACCAAGTCAAGACTTCATCATCACGCCACACCCACATTGCCAGAAGCTGTATCTCGCGACAGGCGGCTCTTTTCATGGATGGAAGTTCATGCCTACGATTGGTCGCTACGTCGTGGAGATGCTCGATGGTACCCTAGACCCCTCTCTTGCCAAACGATGGGCGTGGGATCGTGAGAACGAAGGTGGCGCACATGCTCACCTGCTTCCTACGATTGAACTACGAGACCTATGACAATTGCGATGGTGGTTAGCGGGAGTGGCTGCAATCTGCGTTACATTCTACAAAACTATCATCAAGGCTCAAGTGTATGTTGCCTTAGGAGTAGCTGACTTCTTGAGATTCGATATGACATATGCAGCAAAACGGAATGCGACATGGATTGCAGTCATCTCTGTTGTCGTTGCAAGACCGGGAAAATGAACGCATATTCGAGATAGCCAATGTTGCATGAAGGGCTCTGAATTGGAATATGTCCTTTCATCTTACCTGCATGCAAAGTCTCGTTCGCTGCAACTGCACATTTATCTTCCCGATCCTCGAACGCCCGCTACCAAATCTCGTCAACTCCATCATAAACCGCTTAGGCTTTTACCGAACAGCGTCACGTCTGCCTCACTCTGCACCCTCTCCACTCTCGCTACCATCCACCATCCTACTATCCAGCACCAACCCCTCCTCCTGCACCACCATCCCACCCTCTTGTTCCTCTCCTTCTCTCTCCTCCTCCCTCCCCACCACCCTACCAACCCCCTCCCTCCTCGCAACAACACCCCCACACCACCTAACCGCCTCATCCCAAACCCCCATCATCTCCCTATCATCAATCACCAGCCCTCCCTTTCCACCCCCCTTCTCTCCTCCTTTCCCATCCCCTCCCTTGACCAACCCCGGCAACCCCCCAACCACCAAGTCCCTGAAGAACCACCAGCTGGGCAAGAAGTTCAACTTCGCTAGCGCTGCGAGTTTGACGGGCGCGTACATGGCGCTGTACTGGCAGGCGCGTTGCAGCATGACGACGTGTTTGAAGGCGATTTGCCACATTGAGTGCGCTATGGCGTCGATGTGGGGGGATGTTATGGGCAGGGAGAGGTTGGGTGGGAGGAGCGTGGGCTGGGTTTGGAGGACGTGGCGGAGGAGGTTCGTCATCATCTGGGTGGACTGGGCTGATTGAGTGGCGGCGGATGGTGGTAGGGATGGGAACTGCGTGTTTGGCGCGGTGAACTTGAACTCGGACGGAGACATGACTGTGGTGTCTTTCATGATCTGGGATAGTGTGAGCATCTGGTCTCCTCGGTATTCCACATGACGTACCTCAGCCATCGTCTCCTCAACCTTCTGCTTCTTGGGCGGCGACTCATTCCTAGCTTCTGGCCGAGCAGTACCCTTCTCTGCTCCTACAGGCTTGACCTGGAGATCAGCCATCGTCGGTGAGACATTCTACAACATCGTCAGTCTCGCTCCTGAAAAAACTCAAGTGGTTCATCTCACCTCAGCCTTGATCTTCCTCTTGTTATCCACCATAGCCGTCGGCTTCACAGCAGAAGTTTTACGCTGCTGCTTCACAACGACCTTGGGCGAGTTTTGCGCATTCAAATTCTTGCGCTGTTGCTGTGTCTTCGGAACGGCTTGAGAAACCGATGTTTTGCGCTGTTGCTGAGTCTTCGCGGCGACTTTGGGGGTGGGTGTTGAAGTGACGGGGTTCTACTGTTGTTAGCATCCTGCCACACAGTCACCAGTGCTGTGAAAGCCCAACTCACTTTCCTCGCTGTAGGGGCCTTTGGGTTGATAGCCATAGTGAGACCCGGCATCTTTTAGACACGATGGTGTTGTAGTCGAAGGGGATGGTGAGAAACTTGGTAAGACGCGTAGAGGACGTGGAAGGTCAGCGTGATAAGCGTGTTGTTTGCGAGAGGCGGTTTGAGCGAGAAAGGCGTGGTGAAATAGCGTGGTGTCAAGCGTGGAAACGCGTGGTGAACGTGAGAGTGAGTGCGGACTAGTAAGACAAGCCAGGGTGAGTGCCCACAAAGGGACGAGACGTGAAGCAGCCTTGACGTCGTAATAGCCTCAAAGGCAGTATAAGCTGTTTGCTTGAGGTCGTTTCCAGAAACTCAAGGTGATTATCAGCTGTGGAGGTGAGAGAGCAGACGCTATAGTGCCTTGATGATGGTAACGAAGAGGAAGAGACAAAGGTAGGTCTAGGAAGACGGCATCAGCCTGCGATTGCACTGGATCACGACATTCTGCTGTCACGTAGTTCAGATGATGGAGAGAGTATGAAGACATGGAATGGTCTAAAAGAGCCTTTTGATATGATTAGCGAGGGCCAAGAAGTATATCAAATGATGCCCCGGTGAAGTAGACTATACTCAAAGCTTCCGACGCTGTGTTATGCAAACTGCTGTGGTATATGATCTCGAGAACGCCGCCCATTCATCGCCATATGCAAGACTTTCCAAGATCCACCTTAGGCACGGTCAGCAGTACTAAGCCCGCCCACGTGCCCGTGTCGCGCGTGTTTTAGGCTTGGCTTTCGACTTCTTAGGCGCCGGCACTTCCTCTTCCTCATCCTCAGAATCACCTATATCCTCCTCCCCGTCGAGATCCATCTCCTCATCTTCACTCTCTTCCTTAGCCTTCTTTTTTGAACCACCACTCTTCTTCTGCTTCTTGCGATTGGCTTCAAAAGCCTCTTCGGATGGCTCTTCCATGGGTGTCGAGCGCTTTGAGCCTCGTGACTTGGGCGCGTACTTCGCCTCAAGCGAATCAAAGAAGTTGCCTGCTCGTGACTTCTGGCGCTGTTGGATAAGAGCGGCTAGGCCTGCCATGTCGTCTGTGCCGCCCTTCTTGCCTTTCGGCTTCGCCTTGGCTTTGGTCTTGCCGTTTGTGGCGCCCGACTCTTCTTTCTGGGCCTGCTTCTTGTCGAAATCCTCGCGCCGCTTCTTCTCGGCGTCCTTGGCTTTTTGACGCGTCTCATCCGTTTCCGCCTCGTACGCTGGGTATGAGCTGACTGTGCCGTTCTCGATCTCCTCGTCTAAGATCTTCCTGAACCGATCGTCGTCTTCAAGGATGTCGGATAGCATGACCAGGTCGTACACCTTGTTCAGGTTACCCTTGACCTTCTTGAACGCCTTGACCAGATCGCGACGTTCCTCCTCGCTGCCCTTGTATTCGTTCGCGACGTTGTTGATAGCCTCCTCATTGACGACGTTCTCAAACTGCTCGCGGTAGAACTTCAGCCAGTCAAAGTCATCATCGTCCTCCATTGTCTCGGCTGTGCTGCCAGTGAGGTCATAGCGTCTGCGTCGGCGATCGTCGGAAAGTACTGCGTATGCGAATGCGATCTCTTGGAAGGCTTTGTTGGCGGCTTCCTTCTCGTCGGGTGCAGCCTTGTCTGGTCATAGTTCAGCGATGCACTTCACAATGTGTGGTAAGGGCACTGACCTGGATGGCATTTGAGCGCCATTTTGCGGTATGCCTTCTTCACATCGTCGGCAGTGGCTTCTGTTTCGAGTCCAAGAACCTCATACGGGTTGATGCTGGGAGGGCCATCTTCTTCGTCCATGTCGTTCTCGCCTTCGCTCTGATCGTTGTTTACAAAGTCATCGTCGGCGGATTCCTCGGGAGACGGCTCTTTTCTCTGTCTTCGTGCCATGTTGTAGTGTTGTGTTATGGATATGGAGGTTGTGTGACTACTGACGGTCGACGCCTGCGTGAGAACGCGACGCGACCGTGAGCCCGGACTTAACGGAGCTAGCGTACCAGACCCACTGTTCCCCAATCACCACCCGCCAGAACGCCAATTACATCACCTTCACTTTCCTCCCTCATCATCATGCAAGTCGACTACGACACAGGTCCCGTGCGAACATGGGACGGCCCGGTGCCCCCAGCCCAAGGCCCGGACCCCAACGACCACCTCCAATACATGCGCCTGGCCCTTGACCAAGCCCAGGAATCACCGCCGAAACCTTCGAATTTCCGTGTTGGCGCCCTGTTAGTCGATGCAGATACCGGGAACATCCTTTCGCGCGGCTACACTCTGGAATGCGAAGGAAACACGCATGCGGAGCAATGTTGTCTCTTGAAGCTTGCCCAAGCACACGGCTTGCCTGAGGAAAGAGTTGGGGAAGCATTACCACCCAACACCGTCATCTACACTACCATGGAGCCTTGTAACCTTCGGCTTAGTGGTAACCTCCCATGCGCGGATCGGCTCATTCGAACGAGAGGGAAAGATGGAGAGCAGAAGATCAAGAAGGTGTATCTTGGCGTCAAAGAGCCGGAGAAATTTGTAGGCGAGAATGCGGGACGGAAGAAGCTAGAGGAACATGGCATTGAGTGCGTTCATGTTCCGGGGCTGGAAGAGAAGATATTGAGTGTTGCTACTGCTGGTCATGAACAGTAGCGATCTAATTTGGAAAGGATATGAAGGATACATAGAATCCAATGCTCGAGGAGGTGCGCTCAAGGCACAATCTGCACAACATTGACATCAGCTGCTGTGCTGCCTTTCCATATCCGTATACACATTTCGCTCTTCTGATCTCAATACCTCCAACTCCAAGTCCTCTGCCTGTGTCCATTTCCACCGATCTTTCCCCTTCGCTTTGCCCGTAATCCTCATCTTCAGTTTCATTTCATACTTGAAGCGCCTCCATTTGGTCTTGCGAATCTCTGACCGCTTAACCCCCCTTTCTGGTGGGGATGCTGTCTTCTTGGGAGATTCCGGTTGTGTCGCGCTTACAGATGCGTTCTGTGCTGCCTCCATAGTCTGCTGACCGGCCGCGTCATATTCGATAGCCATGGGGCTGACGGCCAGTAGTGCGATGAATAGAGATGCCAATCGGCTTTCTCGTTTTGTAACCGGCTCTTGTCTTGAGGGGTCCGCAGTCGTTTCTTCGTTCGAGCCAATTGGCACGTCGTCAAAAGGGGCGCTCTGCCCAGGAGTCTGATCACTCCATATTTGTGATGTCAAGGTAATGGGCGGTACTAGTGCGCTAGTCCTGCCATTTTGCTGCCCTGTTTGTTCCGAAAAGTGTCGATTCTCGAAAGCTGCCGCTGGTGAGGAGCTGCCAGCGATGTCAGGCGCTCGTCTGAGGAATAACGTCATATTTCGCTCTGCCGCATGGAAGCAGAGTGCTTAGCCGGTAGAGGCCGTCGGATGAGAAGTGGTGAGCTAAAAGGCTTGGTGATAAGACGTGTAAATAACAGCAACTCAAGATAAACGAAGATGAAAGTGCACACTGGCGGACAGATTTCGTGCCTCACCAGCCTATGCCATTCTCACCGACTTTGCGCGCCTGGGTAGTCGCCCATTTCATAAGTCTTCGAGAAGGAGCCTACCTTTCGTGAAGTGTTCCACCAGCTGTCGGGTCAAATGTTATTGGGACGAAGGTTCCCCATCTCTTGGAATGTGCAGCTGAGGATCCCTGTCAACAATGACCCGACGTATTCATCCCGGTGACAAGCGCAGAGGAGCTTTAGTATACAGGCGAACGAAATTGCGTCCCATATAGATATCGCATGAGGTACCTAGTATCTCATCCATGAGAGACCTTTCACGTGACGGGCTGGGCGACGCTGGCTGTTCTCGACGCCTTGAAGACCCCACAGTCGGTTCGTGACGAGAGCAGCAGGAAAGATCCCAGCTTCCGCTGCGTTGTACCCTCCGATATCTGATATGTATGCGTGCTGGCTTTACTGATGACGGACTTGGAGGGGGCATGGACGATTTCGAGGCTGTTAGGAAGTTCAGACGGCGCGTGGTAATAGTCCAGGCACCCGCAATCGACGGCTTTCGAAAACCTACCCGATTCGGATTACGCCAAGCAGCAGCAGCATCAGTCGTCTCCTTCGTAAAACAGATTTTTGACTCAAGCAGCAAATACATGAAGTTCAATATTTACATTCACGTTCACAAACGGCTCTCGGAACAACCTAGCCCCTACCCCGCTACCTAGGTAAGGGCTCGCGTACCTCGACCCCCGACGCGCGAAGGGATCGCCCGCGAATCTCACTTAGGAACCACCATTGCGTCATGACTTATTCGCATCGACCAAAATGCCACCACCTCCATCGATCACCACACAAATTGCGTAACCCTGACCGTTTTGTACCACCTTTCTCATGATGACGCGTGCCAAAATCATGCAATTGGATAGCAGCCTAGAAAGCAACAAAGCCGCCTCGTGGGCAGAGTACATAGCCACCGAATACATTTTACCTATAATAACCCGTCTGTCCAATACGCCTCGCTCAAGTCTTCTCTCTTACAATGACATCTTATCTCCGCCCATTCGCAACTCAAACCTACAACCAAACCCTCCGTACCTTCACCAAACCAGCCTTCTCATCCCAGGTATCCCGAATCACAACCGCCAAAATGTCATCCGCCCCCTCAAACCTCAACATCGAGACGAAAAACGTCCAAACCGCCCCCGGCGTCACCCTCTCGGAGCAACAAAACACCATCGTAGGCTCCGTCCTCGACCTCTTCGCCGGCCGCCCCTCGCTGCCCAAACTGCGGCTCTGGCGCGACGACGCCACCTTCACGGACCCCATCACCATCGCCGAGGGGCGTGAGAAGTATTCCGCGCAATGGTACGGACTGCAGAGTGCGTTTAGCGAGATTGAGAGGCTCAACCACCAGGTTAAGGATGCGGGGAACCCGATTCTTATGGATTTGAGGACGAGATATGTTATCAAGGGGTTGAACAAGGAGCAGTTGATTCAGAGTGTTGTTGCTATTCATTTGGATGAGCAGGGTAAGATTAAGAAGGTCGAGGATAAGTGGGATGGCAAGCTGCCGGATAGCAGTATTGCGAACGTAAGTGCCATGCGTGTCTTGCGCAATCAATATTGGATGCTAATTATTTTTAGGCTTTCCGTCACTTGAACGCTGTCACCGTACCCAAGTTCGTCGGTGTACCAAAGAACGACGAGGAGGATGCGAAGAGGGGAAACCAGTAGTTTTATCGTTATGTATCGAGTAATCTAACGCCGCGTACAATATCGTACTGCGTAAACTCGTAATTCGTGAATTCATTACAACATCTATCGTCTCTCATAATGCGTCGTTGAACATCCTGCCCAACGCTAGATGGAGGCAAAGCGCAACTGCGCCGGCACCTACACCTAGCACTTTCAGACTCGGTGCTCCTGCAACAATCAATATTGTGCCGCAACCTCCTTGCTCTGCTCTGGGCAGATCGGGTCCGTCCATTGTGATTGTGGCGCAGAAGCCGCCTTGTACCTGGTCCGGGTTGTGGTATACAGTCGTTTGAGGAGGGGGTTGAGCGTACACGACAGCTGTTTGCTGCTGGGGGTATACGGTTACGGTCGTGACCTGTGCGACGTTTACTGCGCCTCCGCATTGGTTTCCGCTTGGGCAGCAGCCGATCAGTCCGTTGGAGTTGCCGGGAACGGCGCATGTGTAGCCTGATGGACAGCACCTGGGATTGATCAGCAAGAGCCATGTCGTCTCTCAAAATTCCTACTCACCAACTTGGTTGGTTGACGTTGCTGCAGCTTACTGAAGCTGACGAAGGACACCAATTTGCGTCTTGCGCTACGACTTGCTGGCCGTCAGGATTTACGATGTACACGGCGCCAGAGAATGGCGCATTGTTCGAGATCTGCTGTGGTATAGCCTCAGGCTTTGCGATCGGTTCCGCGACACATAATGTCAATGTCGCAGCGACGAGGCTCCATGGCGCAAATGACCTCATCGTGTTGAAAGTCGCCGAGGCTGTCAGAGAAAGAAGCCGGGTAGTAGAACGAAAGTCCGCGACAACGAACGTCTAGGAACCGAAGAAAATGCTGCGGGGTTAGTAGTATGCGACGAAAAGGCACAGCCTCGAAAAGATGAGAGATCAAAATCAGCAGTCGTCGGGCGCATACCGGGCTGCTACCCTGCCCTTAAGTCTGACCGGAATACCTTGGAAGCTCTCAATCGAGAGCTGGGAATAGCTCCAAGCTTGCTGCAGGTTGGGCTAGCTCGTCATGGACAGCTTCATGCCGGCTTAGCGGGGAGTCGCACTATTGGTAGCCTCGACGGCACCGAGGTCTAGTTCGCGGTAAAGTGGTCCCACTTGGCTGCTTTTTGCGATAGACCATTGTCGGGCATGATGGCAAAACGGCGGTGTTGAGGTGTGATGGGGCTACAGGTGGCCGGGTGGACCTTGTAGCATGCTTGCTGCCCATCCTGTATACGATGCATTTGCTGGCAGCCGGGCGGAGGTTAGAGATACAGTTTGCTAGAGTGAAGGCCTTGATTGTTCCCTGCAATGCGATCAAGCCACAGTTCTTGGGAGCGGCTGCATCGGATGGCATCGCGTGGTGAGGTGCATGCAGATAGTGAACGCAGAGCGCCGATCTTCCGATGCGGTCAGAATGGGTTAGTCGGCTTGGCGTCACAGGCCACGTGACAGCGTAGAGCGGCGGCGATGAGACGCGTCGCGTTCTTTTGCTTCCATCCCACCTTGTGCACCAGCAACACAATATGACATGTCAACGGATCCGCCACCGCGTCCTTATCGGCTATACCCCGCTTATTGTTTCAGAGCATCACCTACATACAATATATGGGTGAAGCTCACTGCTGCAGATGTGCAAGCTCTTCGGTCTGAGAAGGACTTCCAAGGTAGCAGCCATTCTAACGAGTGCTATGACTATTGCTGACACGTGAACAGCCCAGCGCATTTATTTCCATCTAAATCACCCTATCCGTTATGTACGCATCGTCGGCGTCGTAGTAGCCATCGATGACATCAACCTCAAGTACACGGCCCTCACCATAGACGACGGAAGCGGCGCAACCATCGAGCTAAAGATTGTACGAATACCTCCCGTCGAACGGAACCCCGTCGATACGTCCTCAGACACAAAAATCAAGAACTTGAACATCGTCAGTCGCTTTGGCATCTTCGACGTCGTGGTGGACGGCGAAGCCCTAGACATTGGCACAGTTGTAAAGGCAAAGTGCCTCATATCAGAGTTCAGAGGCGCAAAGCAGCTGGATTTGCAGCGCATTTCAATTGTCAAAACAACCAACGAAGAAGCGCAAGCTTGGGCTGAGACCGCTGCATTCAAGCAGGCAGTCTTGTTGCGACCATGGCGTATAACGTCAGCCGAACACAAGAAGATCAAGCATGCTATCAAGGCGGAAAAGAAGAAGGAACAGGACAATGAGCGGCTCCAGGCGGAATACAAAGTCAAGAAAGAGGAGCGACGGCTGGCGAAGGAGGCATACCTTGCGCAGAGGGAAAAGAAGCTTGAGGCGCGACGGAGGAAGGAGGAGGTCATGCTGAACAGTGGCGCTCTGATATGAGATGGGGGTTCCTTCCCATATGAGGGTCTGTCAGCGAGCCAATAAAGCTGGATGAGTGCGGGGTTTTGGTGGCGCAG